GAAAGCTGGAGAGGCTATATGAGTAACAGGTGAAGAAGACTTCAATACAAAGAATCATACTGGGGAGAAAAGGACATTTCATAATGATAAAAGGGTCAATTTAGGCCCCAATGAGGCCGTAACGATCAGAACTGTGTATGTGTTTGATAACGGAGTTTCATGCACACAATGCCTGGCCAGATTGCACAGAGTTAAAGGGAAAATAGACAAATCCACAGTCTTAGGTGGAGGTTTTATTTTTTTGTTTATTAAAAAAAATTTTTTTTAAATCTTTATTTATTTTTGAGAGAGAGAGAGAGACACAGACAGAGCATGAGCAGGGGAGGAACAGAGAGGGAGGGAGACACAGAATCCGAAACAGGCCCTAGGCTCTGAACTGTCAGCACAGAGCCCGACGCCGGGCTCGAACTCATGAACCACGAAAGCCTGACCTGAGCCAAAGTTGGACGCTTAACTCACTGAGCCACCCAGGCACCCCTGGGTGGAGATTTGAATACTCTCAGCAATTAAAAGAACAGTAGACCTTCCCCAATCAGGAAAGACATACAGCATGTAACACTATCAGCTGCCTTTATCTGATATATTTATAGAGCGCTCTACCAAGCAATGGTAAGATACACATTCTTTTCAAGCACACAGGGATCACTCACCCAGATGGGCCATATGCTGAGCCAGAAAACAAGTTTCCATACATTTAAAAGGACCGCAAACACACAGAGTATGTTTTCTGGCCACAAACTGAATTAAGTTGTAAGATATTCAGTAAAAACCCAAATATCTCCCCACAAGGAGCGTGATAAGGACTCTTCCTGCTCAGTAATCTCTAACTGCTCCCCTGACTGTGGAAATAAATAGAACTTCTCTGTCCACCACCCAGGTTTACCTCCCGTGGCTCGTCTACCTCAGTGGTTGTCCCGCTTCAGGGTGGGTAAGAAGCACTTGGGTTGTTCCCTGAAAATTCAGATCCCAGACAGGCAAGTACAGAATTTCAGTGAGTAGATTGGAAGGAGGCTGCATTTTAAATAAATATTGCAGGAGAGTCTGATGCCATCGATTGGGGGCCACGTTTTGAGAAACAGCCCCCGCGCTCCAGCCAAACCAGACAATTTGGTGCCTGTCAGTAGGGCTTTAAGTTTTCTTGCTTCTGTCTCCGGTCATGGTGGGGCAGCCTAGGCCAGTGAAGGGAAAATGTGGGCTCTGAACAGAGCTGGATAGGAATCTTGACTATGGTATTATTTGCTGAACAATCTTGAGTGAGTGCCTGAAACTCTCTGAGCCTCTGTTTTCTCGTTCAGAAAATGGAGATAATAGCACCTACCTCCTAAAGTTATGGTAAAGACTAAGGGACATCAGAAGCATGCATTACTTGGCACATCTCAGAAATTGGCACTGGCACCAGAAAGTTCTGGGAGTTTTTCCAGAACTCTTTGAGCTGCCATTTCCCCCCTCCCCTCCCCACCCCTGCTCCACCACACACGATACCCTTATTTTCCTCTTTCTATAACTATCTGAATTCTTGTTTTTGCTCCTTCTTCATCTACTAGGTTATAAACATCTTGGGTGCAACAATAGTCATTCAATGGAATTATGGACTCGTGGCACCTGCTGGGAGAAAATAACACGTGTTTCCTGGATATAAAAGAAATACCTTGTATGCGATTTGACCCTTTGTACCCTTGCTTTCCACCTTTCCTTGTTAGTGATCTTAAGACACTGCCTGTATCCAGTTACTGAAAATAGAGGAGAACCAGCAAAAAGAACTGCAGCAGTGGAAATAGATTCCAGCATTTTCCAAAGCGGACACCTGAAGATGTTAATAGAGGTTGCTCTCCAGGATGTTATAAGGCATTAGGCAAAAGATAAAGTTAAAAAAAAATCATGCAAAGTAAAAAGAGCTTCTCTGGTCAAGAGATTTGAGAGAAGTTGTATTCAATGAATTAAAACTGAAGACTTGGCTTTGCGGGACTTGTCAGAGACTTTAGTGCTATTGTGTATGTGATCTACAAGAAGGAGGGCTGTGTTTCAGAGAATGCTAAAAAATACATATATATAGAAAACACATCTCCTTTCTACTTAAAGCGATGCAGATCTAATTGAGAGGGAAATGAGTTTCCAAGGCAGGGAAGGACCAGGGAGACATATACACTTACCATCTGGTAGGTGTGGTTGACCTGGAGCTCTAAGTGGTAGGACAGGTCGGGGAAGACGTCCTCCAGGGTTAGCCGGTGACCATCCCCTGTGTGGATAGGCGTGGTGGTGGGATGGACAATCATCTGGATGGATCTCACCTTGGGGATACAGGTCACATTGGGTGGTTTGATGGTAGCTAGAAAGGGGAGAAGGAAACGCAGAAAAGAAAGGGCTAGAACCAGCCAGTAGTGTCTGAGACTGCCCCGGACCCTCGGACGGGACTGACTGCTTCCCTTCTCCTCCCACCCCAACCCCAGCTATGCTCTGAAAGCATCAGCTACACAAACTCGTGAGAAGACAAAAGTTCTGCAAGCAACTGGTGTTTGGGGTTGAGGTTGGCAAAAGGGTGCCCAGGGGTGAGTGGGAAGCACCCAGGGAGAGGGGCAGTGGCCCCCTAGATTAACCATGACCTTACCCCTGCCTTCTCAATCCCCACCTCGAGTCTGGCCAGAGCACCCTTCCCCAAGTCTATCGGCTATGACAGCTTTGGGGACTGATGGCTCAACTACATAACCTAAATAATGTTTGGGGGGCCTCAAATTATTGATTCGGCCTCAAAGGCCAGACCTAAGACTTCAATCTCGTTCAAGACAAAATTTTCCCAATAACCAAATAACCCTTAGGGGTTTACAGACCTCTTTAAGAATTTGATGAACGCTATGGAACTTCTCTTCCCCAAAATGTACCTACAGATACAGATATTTTCCGCTCGATTTTAGGGATTCATGAACCCTACTCCTCCTGAAGCTAACTTATAAAAATCCCTCAAGGGTCCATTGACCCACCAAGATCAAAAACATCTGAACTAGAAGAATGTGAACTTCAGTTTTGTTTATAAAAAACTGGGTTAAAAATCCTCAAAAAGGGAATGAGGGAAGTAAATGAAGACTACCTCCATCGAATAGATCATTTTGCAGCCATGAGGTGTCCACGTCGTGGAAAAATGCTTAACAACACGGGCAAACGTTCCTGATAGCATTCTATGAAAAACACCTACCAACCAGGTTACGAAAGAGTAGAAAGGGTCCCTAGCAACTATGTTTATGTTTAAGTGTTCAGATTCTTTTGGGCTACTTTCATTTTTGTTTGTGGATTTCTATATTTTCCAGATTTTCTGCAGTAAATACGTATTAATTGGACAAGCCAAGAAAAAATAACTTGTTTAATTTTACTTTTTAATTTTCTTGGACAGCCACACGGCTGTTAAGTCAGTAAGTGAACATCACCACCTGCTTAACTTGTGTGGGGAGTTTGGCAACTCCTACTTCATTCATTCATTCATTCATTCATTCATCAGTTATGTATTAATTCCCACATGCCAGGCCCTATGTGAAGGACCGAGAATACAGGGGATTCCACGCCTCCACATGGAGTCCGTGTTTCACTGGGGAAGGCAGATGTTATACACATAAGCAAATGGTGACATGAGCTGTCGAGACAATGAACAGTTGACTGTGGCAGAGAATAACAGGTGGCGATGTAGTGAAATGAGGTCACTGGGGCCTGAGCGGGGACGCCCACTTAGGAGGTGATATTGAGGCAGAGACCAAGACTGAGGACCGGAAAAGAGTCCAGGCCAGAGTAGGGCGCTGAGTTAGGAGGCCTTGGTTGTAGTCAAGAGGCGAGGTGAAGGCGACTGACCTCGGGAGGTCGGGATGGAGCTGGAGGAAGATGAACAGTGCACATGGGATGCTCTGTAGTTGCAGCTACCTTCCCTAAAAGCCACGTCTCTAACGGCCCCCCAGAGCCCTCCTGGGCCGTCCCCCTCCCCTTCCCTGCAGTGAGGGGCGCCCACTCACTGTGATACAGGGAGCTGAACCGGTCGGTCATCTTGGTGGCCGACGGGCCTCCAGCGCTGATAGCAGTTACGCGGGCATAGTAGTGCTCCATGGGGTTGCCCGTCTCCAAGGTCAGGTTGCAGGATTTCCGGGTGATCCGTTGGCAGCCCTCCTTTGCCAGCCACTCTCTCTCTCCGTACCTGGAGGCGAGGGAGGGACCGGGGCACATGTTCAATGAGCGGGCCTGGCACTGGGCCCGTGGTTTATTAATAATGATAACGATATCTAGTATTTACTTTGCATATTCTGTGTCCCAGGCCCCTTATGCGGATGATCTGTGAGTCCTCATGGTGATCCCGTGAGGTTCATATATCATTCTCCCGCCTTTTCGAATAGGGAAGCTGAGGCTTAAAGAGGCAATATCTGGGCAGGTGTTTGGAGCTTACGCCTGGGGAGCTGGGATTTGAACTCAGCCAGCCTGAGTTCATATTCTGGGCTCGTCGTCACCAAAAGCCTTTGAGGAAGGCACTGTTATCCCCGTTTGACAGATGAGGGATCTGAGGCGCAGAGAGGGGAAGTGACTTGCCGCGGGATAAAGTGGCAGGACCGGCAACGGAACCCGGGTTTGCAGACCCCTGAGCTCACGTCAACCTCCTCCCCTGCATGGGAAGGGAGACGGGCAGGAATGAGGGCACGGGCTCGAGGGGGTGGGCATGACTTTCTGTTGAGCTAGTCTCACTGATGAGAATAAAACAACTATTGGTAGCTTATCATTTTCCAGGCACGAGTGTTCGTGGGTCTATCTTAATTAATCTACCTAACAATCCAATGATGAAGGTCCTCTCACTTTACGGATGGGACACAGGCTTGGTGCCCATCGCCCAAGGTTATAAAGGTGAGAGCCGGCCAGTCTGACCCCGGAGCCTGGAATTTTAACAATCACCATATTCTCCCTTTGCAAAAGAAACCACAAAGCAGCAAAGCTCTATCTGGCAGGCGGTGGTGCAGGCTGTATAACATCGGGTGGGGGTGTGGAGACATACCGCACAGGGGGATTTTCTCGGAAGGGTCGGTTTCAGAGCAGAATCAAAAGAGGTCATGTGGAGAGGGAAGCCTACTTTTTATACTCAACACTGTAGACCGTGTCTGGGGCGCTCTCCGGCCTGCTGTCCCACGTCAGGATGTTTTCGAAGTTGCTGGACTGGAATTTTACGTGTTGAAGAAGATCCGAGGTGTCCTCAGCCACGTGAGCTGCAGGAGGTGGGGGAGCAGCGTGAGGAGATGGGCACGAGGACCCTGCCTCCAGCCTTCCAACAAGCCGTCCGATGAGGGGTCCTACTCACCAGAGACTCTGCAACGGACCATCACCGCTCTCCTTCACTTCTTTTTCTATTCTTTACTGAGCTACCTTTATTGTTGTTATTATTATTTATGATTATATTCAGTATTCATTATATATTATTATATTTACTATTTTCATTCTTCACATCCCATAAAATTCGCCGTTTTATTTTCTTAAAAAAATTTTTTTTAATGTTTATTTATTTTCGAGACAGTGCGAGAGACAGAGTGCAAGCCCCGGAGGGGCAGACAGAGGGAGACACAGAATCCGAAGCGGGCTCCAGGCTCCGAGCCGTCAGCCCAGAGCCCGATGAGGGGCTCGAGCTCACGAACTGTGACATCATGACCTGAGCCGAAATCAAGAGTCAGTCGCTTAACTGCCTGAGCCACCCAGGCGCCCCTCAGACAGGTTTCTTTGCTCAGGGTCACAGTTAGTATATGACAGAGCCTGCAGGACTCATCAGAGTGCTAGACTGGTCATGGGGGGATACAGGAGGGCAAGGAGGGGACAGCAAAGGGCCAGAGCCCCAAGAAGAGGACCAGAGAGGGACCACTGCCCCTGAAGCAATTTTTACTATAAATGAGAGCCTTCACTTCCAAAGCTCTTCCCTCAGCCCTCCACGCTTGGTCTGTGGAAAGGAAGAGGGGTGCAGGAAAATGGCAGCCGGAACTGACAGCTGGCTCTGAGCGTGCTCAGAAGGGCCTGGTTGGCTGGGGTGGGAAATAAACAGGTGCCGACCCACTTGCGCCAAGGCCTTGGGGCCTTGTGTACATATGTGTCTTTGATGTGTGTGTGCCTCCACCCACCCTGGACGTGACCATGACCACAACAGGCCCAAGGAGTGGGTTGTTATTTAGTCCCCACTCTGAGTCTACATACGATATTTCTGCAAGAGGGGTTCATGGGCTTAGGAGGCCCCTGAGAGGGTGGGAAAGAGTGTTAGAACAAACCTGACCCTGCTGTGCATCCACTGGCAAGGTCTAAGGACGCATCCCTCTTTGAACCTGGGTTGGTCAGTCCCAGCAGCTATAGAGATCTTTGTGTTCCAGGTTTTTTGGAGCTCTCAGAACAAGGCCTAGGGGTCTGGGGGTGCAGGGGGGTGTCTTACTGCTTCTAGCCAATGTGGCGGCTATGCTATTGGGCCCCAAGGTGTGGCTGACATCTTGTTTGGATCTGAGTCTGGGCAGAATTGGGGTCTGTTCTGGAGGGAGTGAGCGATCCTGGATTCAGGACTGGGTCTTAAGTTGAGGGAGGGAGTCCAATTTGAAGTCAGAACTGAATGGTGCCTTCTGGTGGGGTGGTAAAGGTAGGGCAAGGTGGTAAAGGAGAGAGCGAGGGTGGATTTGAGAGAAGGTCAGGGTCTGTCTGGGGTGTCTAAGCCACCCCTCGTTAGGGGCTACAGTGGAAAGGTTGCTGGCTGGGGTCAGTATGCTGGTGGGCTAGTTGGGTTGGGGGGGAGCCTGGTGGCTGAGGCTGAGACTTGCTTGGGAGGTGAGGGGCCCAGGCTGGGAGGAGGTTGGCACCATTTTTCAGGAGGGAACTGAAGTTGGCTTCCAGAAATGAGGTGGATGGACCTTGGCTGGATTCTTCTTTTAGGGGGGATTGAGGGCTAACAGGATCTCTCCTCTCCTCCTACCTCACTCATTTCTTTTTCTTCTCAACTCCATCATGCGTTCCCCAACCTGTGTTGTGTCTCACTTCCTGGGTGAAAGTCTACATTGTGAAATCCTGGACACCCATGCGTTGTCTAGGAACTCACAGACCAGTAGCCTCTAGAAAAGGAAGTTCCCACGTTTGCTTGGAAAAACAATTTTATGTCAACAAGTCGGAAGCTAAGGAAAAACGAACAAACAAAAACAATTCAAAATATTCTGGAATCAGCCTCAGAATGCTAGGGCAGAGGAGACCTGGGTCCCGGAGAACCTTCTTGGCTCTGAACAACTCCTAAGACTGTTTCCCTTCGGTCCCCATCTGAAAGGGTCAGGAGCTTGTAAGACTTCCAATCAGAATGGAGTCTTCGGGGGAGGCAACAAGTCTTCCCCACTCATCAAGGGCGCAGCGTGTTGGGAATACCCATCTTGATGCCAGAGTTGGACAGACTGGAGGGGCCCAGGCGGCAGCCGGAAGCACTGTGGATCCCACCAGCTTACGCAGGGGACAGGGGACAGCAGCAGAGGGGGCTGGGAAGCCCCGGCTCTTTATGGGCTTTATCCTGCACTTGAGCCAGAAAGGGCCTTGCAGGGACCCTCCCTCCTGCTCTTCAGTCAGCACTATGCATTCACTTCCTGGGAAAGTTCCCTGAATTGTACTACCCCTCTCCTGGAGCAGAGACACAATCTGGGATCTCACGCATCTGTTTGAAATTTCTCTATAACGGTAAATCAAGAAACCGATTTTATTGGGTTTGGAAACCATGCCTTCTAGTTCTGTTGTCAAAGGATGTTTTAAGACCCGTTAACGTGGCAGGCCTGGCCGTTGTGGGACAAAGCGCTCTCTGGGATCTAGAGTGAGGGGCCGGAAGAGCCCCCCAGCCCCAGACGTGAGGAGGGAAACAATGGCCGCACTCGAGTTTTGTCCCTCTGTTGTTCTCCCACCTCCCCTTGTTGGGCCAGTGAAAGCCAGAAGCAGAGGAAGGGACCATACAGCTATCAGAATGATTCGAGTGGTCCAAGGAGGTCTGCCTCCCTCGGGCCAATTCTCTAACCACTGAGGTGAGGGGATCTGGCACCCCCAGTTCAGACAGCTGGCTGCATCCCTGAGTTTAGAGGTTAGTTGAGTCTCCAGAAGAACCCAGGGTCTGAAGGGCCCTCGCATCCTCTCCCCAGTACCCTGAGGTTTCCCCCAGTTCTCCAGGGAAACTTATCATCCAGTTCAGCCCTAGTGGAGGGGAAACCGAAACTGGCTGGGATGGGGGAAAAGACCCCGATCAACCCTCCCGGGTGTCGGGGGAGGGGGGGCGGGGATCTGACCACAGGGTGATGGGCACTCACCGGCCAGGGATCCCGCGGCCAGGATGGTCAGTAGCGTCCTCATGGGGCCGGGCTCAGGGCCCTCTTTTGGCCTCCGCTCTGAGCAGAGCACGGTCGGAAGACTGAGAGGCTTTGCCGCCTTGGCATCGGGCTCCACCCAGGTGCAGGGGTGGGGAAAGATGGGAGGGTGGGGCCAGAGCAGGGGGAACGAGGTGCAAAGGTGTCTGGTCTGTAAGCTTCAGAATTCCAGGTCCTGGGCGGGATCCGAGGGAGTTCCTTTCCTAGTTGCAGAGAACAGTAATAGCGACAGGCCAGCTTGTTTATCTGGTCTGGTGGCTGATTCAACCCAGGCTGTTCAGTGCTTTATCAGGAAGCTAAGAGACAAAAAAAAAAAAAAAAAAAAAAAAAAAAAAAAAAGGCAAAAAGAATCCATGACACGTAGCCCCATCAGACAGCAATTTGGCACTGTGTCTCAAAAACCTGCAACATGCAGGTAACTTTTGCCCCAGAAATTTCCTTCTCAGGAATTTATCCTGAGGACAATCACTGGAGCAGACAAGGAAGGGAACAGGAAATATGTTCCAGAATGTTCCTGGTGGCAAAGGAAAAGCTGTGACTCCTTGGCTTTGTTCTGGCAGGAGGAGACAGAGGAAACCATTTTCTCCTTGTTGCTGGGCCTCAGGGAGGCTGGAGGGACCTGGACGCTGTTCAGGGTGGACCTGATCAGAGATCTGTGCTCCTGGGAAGAGTTTGGCTCTCCCCGGCCACACAGCCGCAGGCCGAGGCCCAGAGCAGGAGAGCTGGCTCCTAAGGCAGCCAGTGGAAGCATCCAGAAGCCTATGGCTTTTGGATGTCGTAGGCTGTGATACCCAGCAATCTGTATTTAAGTTTTTCTTAAAAACAATTGTTAGAATTGTTTCCTTTCTATCAGCTTTGAGTCTTTGGTAAAGTTTATTTGCCAAAATAGCCAAGGGGCGCCTGGGTGGCGCAGTCGGTTAAGCGTCCGACTTCAGCCAGGTCACGATCTCGCGGTCCGTGAGTTCGAGCCCCGCGTCGGGCTCTGGGCTGATGGCTCAGAGCCTGGAACCTGTTTTCGATTCTGTGTCTCCCTCTCTCTCTGCCCCTCCCCCGTTCATGCTCTGTTTCTCTCTGTCCCAAAAATGAACAAACGTTGAAAAAAAAAATTAAAAAAAAAATAGCCAAATCTCAGCAATGTGGGACTATCTAGACTTCATTTCTAATAGGAAATAGTAAAAAAGAAAGAAAGAAAGAAAGAGGAAGAGCCTCCATATGCCCCACAGTAGAGGGCTTTCTAAATGAATAATGATATGTCCGAAAACGCAAGCTGAGCACAACCTCGCATGTGAATGGTGCTGGAGAAGATGTTTGGCGGCTGAAGATTCCCCATATTTTGCCAAATGAGAGCGAGCATGGCCTATACTATGTACGACACAAGCCTGGTTAAAACAAATACACACAGAGAGGGGGAGAAAGTCTTAAATGATATGATTGTAATATGGAAATATTAATGGAATTATCTCTGGGTGGGAGAATTACAGGTGATTCTTATTCTCTTTCCTTTGCTTATCTGCACTTCCTAAAGTGCTTATAGGCAAGATATTTTTTCTTTTTATATTAAGGAAAAGCAAGGCTACTGAGCAAAACAAAAAGACATTAAAGAAATGCGTTGAGCTAGGCTGTACCCACCTTCTGCAATTCCCTTTCCTCTCTCTTGGCCAGACTCCCTCTTCTTCAAAGCCAGCTGGGATGGTTTCCTCTCCTGCAAGATGCTCTTGACAAGTTTAGCTCCCAGCAGGTTCACTTTAAAAAAAAAAAAAATTATTTATTTATTTGAAGAGAGAGAGAGAGAATCCCAAGCGCAGAGCGTGACATGGGGCTCGAACCCATAAACTGTGATATTATGACCAGAACCGAAGTCATGAGTCAGATGATTAACCGACTGAGCCACCCAGGCACCCCAACCACAGGCTCACTTTAAAGGTCCCTTTAAGACTCCTGGTTACATTAGCATTGTCAGTGTTATTCTTCAGGTGTGCTCCTGTTTAAGACTGGAAAGGACAAGGGGCACCTGGGTGAAACTCAGTTGGTCAAATGGCCAGACTTTGGTCACAGTATGGTTTGTAGGCTTGGAGGTCCCCATCTTCAGAACTCTGTGCTGAAACCTGGGTGCTGCTTTGGGATTATGTGTCTCCTCTCTGCCCTCCCTGCTATAAACTGCTCTCTCTCTCAAAAGAATAAACATTAAAAAAAAAAAAAAAGACTGGAAGAAAGGACAACTCAGGTCAGGGCAAAGTGAGACGACTGCACCATCTTTGAAGAAACCTAACCTAACCTGTTGCGTGAATGAAGTCTCCTTTTATGCAACAGGAAAACAGGGGTGGGGAGGGGAAGTAGAACACATATTAGCAAATTCTTTTGAGTTTAAGGAAGCAAGCTTTCCAGTATGGTGGTGTAGAAAGCTGATTTTTGGATGGGGCTGCTGTTGGTTGCTGGCGGTATTCAGTGGTGGCTGTGACCATGGTGAATCTCATCAATTCATTCCTTTGTCTTTACAAAATTCAAGGGCTTTGTCTTCCCAGTGGGAAACCTTGAATGCAGAGATCTTCCACGTGTTTAGAGCAAACAACTATCAACATTGATGGCCTATGGGGAGGCCTGGGTGGCTCTGGTCAGGACTGACGTGACTTCAGCTCAGGTCCCACTGATGCAGTCCATTGAGTTCAGCCAGCATTCAGGGCTCTGTCTTTGACCTTTCGGGCCTGGAGCCTATTTCAGATTCTGTGTCTCCTTCTCTCCTCGGCCCTCCCCCATTCATGCTCTGTCTCATCTGTCCCCAAACTCTGATAGCTTGAAATAAAAAAAGTGTGTTTGTTATTTTTGAGAGAAGGAAGAGAGGAGAAGACTGAGAGAGAGAGTGCCAGGAGGGGGGCAGAGAAGGAGACACAGGATCCTATAAAGCAGACTCCAGGCGCTGAGTTTGTCAGCACAAGAACCCGATCAGGAGCTTGAACAGAACCATGAGACCGACTGAACGTGAACGCCAGCCAGCTGAGCAAATGTTTCTTGGCAGCAGGTCACGGGTTCCTGGTTCAGCTTACCCAGGGCATTAGTTTGCTTTCCTGAAATTTCTCCAATGCACCTGGCCCATAGATCTTGCCCCTCTGAGCCTTTATCAGCTGTGCTGCCCTGGAATACACTTCACACCCCCTTTTCCTAATTCTGGCTCTACATTCTTTGGACCTCTTCTCATTCTCTTCACTCCAGAGCCTTCCCTGTGTGGAGCCTCTCACCAGGTTAAGGCAGTTGTGTTCCTGGCCTCAGATCTCACCCGTCCTCATGTATATCACACTGTAGGATTAGTTTCTGTTGCCAACTGCTTGAGGGACAAAAGGTGTAATTTGCTCCCCTTGATCTCAGTGGATCAACCCGAGGAGAAATAGCAGTGGCCTGTAATGAAAAAAAAAAAAAAAAAGCCTCCAAAATGACAAATACTCAGGAGCGTGAAGTGCCTGCTTCACGTGCTTCTTCCTTCTTCCCTTCGCCCTTCTTTCCCAGCACCCAGGATGCGGGTGGTTCTGCAGAAGCAAGAGCATCAGAGGGCAGAGGCTGGGGGGAGGGAGTGCTGTTCCTTGGTTGATGACTCAGCAGTCAGAGCCTGAAGAGATTTCAGTCCTTCATGGGCAGGCCAGGTGCAAGCCTGAGCCTACCCAAGCCTCTTCTTGAGAGAAAAGGCACAGAATCAGACTCACTTTGCAGTCCGTGGCTCCAGTCTCAATGCGACTGGGGACATTGACCCATTGTCCCAGGTGGGAGCCTGGATCCCAACTTAGCTCTGGAGTGACCTTAGTGGGCCTTGTCCCTCTGGGCTCAGTTTCTCTGTCTGAGTGAGGAGGCTTGGCCCCAGAAGGCCTCTAAAGAGCTCTGCGGAATTTAGATATTTGTTTCTATAGTTAGAAGTTGGAAACCCAAGAATTCCGTTCATGGCTGCAGTGACACACGCCTGAATCAGCTCAAAGCCAATCCCAGAGTGGCCAAAATGAACAAATCAGGAGACTACAGATGCTGAGGATGTGGAGCTTGGGAACCTCTTGCACTGTTGGTAGGAATGCAGGTGGTGCGGCCACTCTGGAAAACAAGGAGTGGAGTTCCTCCAGAAAATTAAAATAGACCATGTTAGCAACCAGCACTGCAAAATTTACCCAAAGGGATACAGGAGTGCTTTGTGCATAGGGGCACTTGTACCCCAATGTTTATAGCAGCACTCTCAAGCAACAGAGTATGGGAAAATCTAAATGTCCATCAACTGATGGATGGATAAAAAAATGTACATACAATGGATACTAAGTGGCAATGAGAAAGCATGATCCATATTGCTAGCATTATGGATGGAACTAGAAAGTGTGGTGCTAGATGAAATAAACCACCACAGAAGGCCGTTATATGTTTTCACTCTCTCATGGATCCTGAGAAACTTAACAGAAACCATGGGGAAGGAAAAAAAAAAAAGAGGTTAGAGTGGGAGGCAAGCATAAGAGACTCTTTAAAACTGAGGAGCAAGAGCCTGGGTGAAGCAGTGAGTTAAGCGTCTGACTTCATGGAGTCTGATCACAGGTCCGTGATTCCGAGCCCCAGCGTGGGCTCTGGGCTGATGGCTCCAGGACCCTGTTTCTGGATTCTGTGTCCCTCTCTCTATCCGTTCATGCTCCACAAATATCTCTCTGTCCCCAAAAAAAAATGACGTTTAAAAAAATTTAAATAAAAAAAATAAAAACTGAGAACAAACTGAGGGTTGGTGGGGGGGTAGGAGGGAGGAGGGAGATTGGGTGATGGAGTATTGAGGAGGGCTGGGATGAGCACTAGGTGTTGTATGAAACCAGTTGACATCATATATTGAAAAAAAACTATTATTGTACACTTTAACAAGTGAATTTTACTAATGTAGATTATATTATAATAAAGCTGACTGAAAAAATTAAAAAAAAAGAAACAAAACAAGATCACAATGTCTCCAAGCTAGAACTGGGAGGGACTAGTTTCACCTGC